GTCAACTTATGAAATTCCTTGTATTGAGTTTGTTAGCGCGATATCTCAAGAACCATTTGAGATTTAAACTTAAAACTTAAGGATAGTATGAATCACCATAGGAAGACGATCTGATTAGATTTTGGAGCACATATGTCAAAGGTCAAGGGTCACAGAGGTCAACTTATGAAATTCCATACATTGAGATTGTTATCATGATATCTCAAGAACCACTGGAGATTTAAACTTCAAACTTAGTGATAGTGTGTATCACTATAGGAAAACAATCTGATTACATTTTGGAGCACGTAGGTCAAAGGTCAAAGGTCACAGGGCTCATTATGTATGCAAAAACAGCTTGTGATCGCGTTATCTGAACAACCGATTGATGGATTCCTGCCAAACTTTGGTCATGTATGTATCTTGCAGAGCTGATGAACTGATTAGATTTTGGGGTCACGAGGTCAAAGGTCAAAGGTCACAGGGCTCATTATGTATGCAAAAACAGCTTGTGATCGCGTTATCTGAAGAACCGATTGATGGATTCCTGCCAAACTTTGGTCATGTATGTATCTTGCAAAGCCAATGAACTGATTAGATTTTGGGGTCACGAGGTCAAAGGTCACAGCGCACATTATGTATGCAAAAACAGCTCGTGATCGCGTTATCTGAACAACCGATTGATGGATTCCTGCCAAACTTTGGTCATGTATGTTACTTGCAGAGCTGATGAACTGATTAGATTTTGGGGTCATGAGGTAAAGGTCAAGGTCATGCGGCTCATTATGTATGCAAAAATAGCTTGTGATCGTATTATCATTAGAACAGATTGATGGATTCCTGCCAAACTTAGATCATTTATGTATCTTGCAGAGCCAATGAATGGTTCATAAGATCAAAGGTCATGGGCTCATTATGTATGCAAAAATAGCTTGAGGACGCATTCTCATTAGAACTGACAGATGGATTACTATTTAACTCAGGAAATCTTGCAGAGCCAATGAACTGAGTAGATTTTAGGGTCATGAGGTCAAAGATCAAAGGGTCATATATGTTTATGAGAAATTGCTTGTAATCACGATATTCTGAGAACATGTTAATGGATTACAATTGAACTTGAATTTGAAAAATTTCTTCCGTTTCGGTTTGTAAAATTGCTCTATGACGGAGGCATCATTTTCGACTGCGCGCAGTCGAATTCCATCTAGTTTTTTAGTGCCACTGAGTGTTTTGTAGCAATTGTCAGAAATAGACTTTTGAAAGTTGAAAATTCTTTTTCAATAAGTTGTCTCATTAGTAAATTGGGCATAACATATACAGCATGAGATACGAATTTACTATGATTGTGGCTTTTATCTTTCTTTTTTCATTAGAAAGAAAAATGAAGAAAGTCTTGAGTCCTAACAAAAATATTCAACTCTGAAATTCTTGGGCAGGACTCACTGACCCAGTATGAAAGGGGGTTAGGTTTGTTTAAAGGGCAACCCAACCCTTGTAATGAGTTGATTCTTATGGAAGCAGAAAAATAAGATAAACAGATTGTCGAGAGATTGAAATGAATCAGACCAATAATAATAAAGTTATGAATGTTTGAAACCCATACATTTTGACAAAAAATGATATTTTTAGTCATTTTGTATGTTGGAACAGATCGGAAAGTAGTAGATTTTTGAAAGTCTGTCTTATGTCTTATTTTCATGGAAAAACCGTTGGGAAAATTCAAAATATGGTTAGGAAAATTTACTGTTAGAGGGTGTTGCACAGTGACGCCTTCAAAGAAAACCATAAATATCTTTGTGGTTTAAGAACTTTTTCAGGATTTTTTTGCATGTTAGAGGGCTAGTACAGTAGGAGGAATATAATTAGTAACATTTCATACAAAATTACTCAGTTTTTTGACCAGCATTCAACAATGTTACCGAGTCACTTTAATGCTACCAAGAGCTCCGAGTTCACAAAGTGATTTATTGATAGGGTTCTTGGAATACGTGACCAAGGTGTGATGCATCCCAGGACCTATCTGGGAGTGAAGATTTATTCCACCTCAATCTCAGAATGTGTCATAAATTTGTTTAGATAACGACATCATTTTCATCTAGGTTTATGTCTTGTCGGACCAATCATCAGGGAATCCTGCATTTCTACTGATGTTTGAGATCGAGAGAGAGAGCATAAAAAAGTTCTAGTTTTAAATTGGAAGAATTAGGGCAGTGGGGGTGTGTGCAATGTGGTTGGAGTGGCCGGTGCTAGTGATTTCTACTTCTTGAAATGCGGACCGATGATGGACGAATTGCTCATTTGTTCCTACCTTTCGCTCTTAAATTACACCTGATGAGGGGGAAATAATAATTCTAGGTCAGGTATCTGGGCCTGGAGATTGTTTGATTGAAGTATTCTGGCCCAGTTTGTGTTTTAGTCACATCCTCCTTTCAGCACTAGACCCGTAGACCTCTCTCTCCCTCTCTCTCTCTCTCTCTCTCTTTCTCTCTCTCTCTTCATAGCTTTTTCTACATCTCTGTATCTAGATGGGTAAAGTGAAACAGACATCCCTCGTAATGTAGACCAAATGTTTGCTTAAAAATCACGAAGAGGATCTGGTCTTTATTAGATTTGAGAGATGTGGGCCATTGCGTTTCGGAGACGGATTACTACTGGATGATTCGTGTGATTGGGCTTTTCACACCTAGCTCTGTTTCGCTTCCCTTTCCCCCCACGGGGCTTGTGCCGGATCGTGATCGGGCGCTCTCTCTCCCTCTCACGGAGAGCACAAGAGAGTTTATAACAAGAAGGAAGAGAATAGGGGGCTTTTAACCCGGTTTAAAAGGCTTTGACCTGTTGTTTATTGTGCACCTGAATTAAATTGAATAGGGCAGGTTGCGGAAGTGGATAACGACTTTCAGATATTGTCTGCTGCTCCGAAAAGGACGAAAAGGACGTGGACCTAATTGCTTGAGACAGATTTTCACACTTTGGTCCAAACCCTTAAGATGATCGTGTAAAGGACAGAAAAAAGAATTACTGGTACCCTTATTGATCAAGTGGTTAGAACCCAAATCCATCGTCACGGTTACAGACAGTTCGGGGGAGTGACCCACATTTTTTGATGGTGTCAAGATGTAATGGGGGAATAGGGGTAATATTTTTCACTTGGATAGATTTCTATATTCATTCACAGAAATATAACACAGATTTCTTTAAGTAATTAATAGATCATCTGTTGAGAGACAGAAGGGCTATAAATCTTTGTTAATTTATGAGCTAGCACCCTTCTGGCTCCAAAAAAATTATAGTGAAATTTTCTGGCCTGCTTGATGAAGACCACCAGTTCTTTTGTCTAAGTACACTGATGATTTTGTTATGTCATACCAACGGTCTTCAACAATAGGACTACAACTTTACCATTTTGTTGGGTTTTTTATGCCAAAAAAGGAATACCAGAGAATTCTATGACTCTTGCAAACTGCCAACAGCATGAAACTTTCGCCAATTGCAAAGTTAAATGTTTTGATCACTGATTCCATTATTTCATAGAACAAAATTTTACTTATCTGGACCACTGAAAAAGTTCTTGCATTATTGGCAATAAAAGCAGGTGACCTACAGCTTACTTTCATGTATCTGAGGGACGTACTGGCCAATGGACGATTGATGCCTGTATACCCAAAGGCAGAAGATCACTTATTTCAAATAAACATTGTATAAAAGAGGTGCCCTGAAGTTCTGGTAGTTCAAATCTAAAAGGTTTAGGCCACATCAGAAGGTTGGCTTTTTAACCCTTCTCTACTATTAATAAGTAGATGTAGGTGTCATCAATTGGTTTCATGAGACATTTTGTTGTTCGAATTCAATTCCATGAATTACGTTTTTTTTTAAATAGTATTTTGCCAATCTTGATCATTGTGGAAATGCACTTAATGAAAGCCACTCACTTTTTTTTAAACAATATTATTTTCTAGTGATTTATCTTGTGTGACACTCGATCAGCCTAGAGACACAATGAAATGTCGAATCTCAATGTTAGCTTTTATGATCCCTCGTGTGTCGGCTTGTGAAGAGCAACGTCTCTTTAGCCGAGTTTTGAAAAAATGACCACCCGCAGTCTGTCTCCCGAGACGGCTCTCAGGAGTATGACTAAGATCTACTTGCTTTTGACTTCTTCACGCTCCTCTTCCAAATCCGTGTTACATTCTGGGTATCGAGATTGTGTCACTTCTTGTAGCGCTATTGTCAGAAAACCTTGTAATCATGCATCAAATTAAACGAAAGTTAGCTCCGTGATTTCCCACACGTTCGACGAAACGACACGCCTCTTGTCTCGTGCTTGAGACAGAAAGTTTTCATGAACGTGATGACCTAAATTTTCATCGCTTTTGATCATAAACGGAGGAGATGGGTATCTGAAATAACTTGATTTTATGTGTCACAAATATTTATACTTTAGTGTTGACTGCGCTTGGAGCGATACAAAAATGATACAGATTATGAAACAAACATCAAAATGATATTGATTGATTCGAAGAATGAAAGGGTGTTCTTCTTCATGGCCAAAGTTCCATTCTTGATAAATGAAATAATGTAAAGCAGATGCATCGCTGAAATGTTTTTTTTTTAACCCCAGCCGAAGTTTCACTGATTTTTGCAGTGTAAATGCAAACTTCAGTATTAAGATACTGATTTTTGCTCATGTGACTCAACTCGTTTCCGTGCTAACGAATGCAGGGCACCGACAAATGACGCATGCGCACTACTTTCTAGTAGCCTAAATGGTAGTCCAAAAAATGGATGATTTTAAATAATTGGTGTTTGGAATGTGTAAATGGGCCTTGTGATGTACATTATTAATATTCGAGATTGCTACTTTTTTCTTTCGTTGCCCAACTGAAGAAAAATCACAGAATCTACCAAACTTTGTTTTCGCACCCTTTTTGTTTAGAGCTTATTTATTACCTTTTCCAAAAGACTAACTCTTGTGATTACCGGTAATGTTATTGTATTCTTTCTTTCTTTCTTTCTTTATTCAGTGGCATCGTACCAATGCTACAACAGAGACCGATGGTTTCCAGGTGAAGCGTCCGGGAAACGAGAATGTGAAGTGTACCCTTCTACTGCTTCTGGATCACCAGGTGGGTATAAAATGGGAAAGTTTAGAAATAATAATGATAATCTGGATTTATATAGCACTTATTATCTTATTCCGTCTTTAAAGGTAAAGACCAGTATTGGTAACGCCCCAATTTCAAAATATGAAATGGAAGCTCTCATTACCAATCATGTGAAAGAATATGTTTTGACCAATACATGATGATAAAAAATTTGCCGGGAAACCCCCTACTAATTCATATATTTGGTAAATTTGTTTCTCTCATGGTCTGTGAGAGATATAAGGTAGTCCCATATACATCTTTCTGTGTATAGTGCTTGTAACTTTACGAAGAATGGGCCAAATTTCTTATCATTTTGATGATTCCAGAACCTTGCAGATGCTAGATGCTAGATGATCAACCTTTCTGATCGATTCCACAACGTTTCTTTCACAATGCAATCGCATGACCATAACTGGTCTTTACCTTTAAGCGCTTTACAGATATTATCACCCTAATCATCGGATTCATTCACGTACAATGTGCACCATCTTCAATCCATGATGAGTATTTCTACCATATGCTCACCGTGAGGGCATATAGCAATTTTAGGTCCCCATTTCTCTCCTGAGTATGGAGTGGCAAATGTAGATTAATGCCTTGCCAAGGAGAAAGAAATGTTTCATTTCACAGTTCAGAGGCCTGGGCTCTGTCTTACAAAGTCCTCTAATCAATCGCAAGTTTGCAATCTCCTATCTCTTATGTACATAGTTGCAATTGATATCAATCGCAAGTAAGACAGGGCCCTGAGGTAAATAGGAATTTTGTAATCTATTTCCTTGAACATTAGAAACTAGGAATAACTGTTGTTTTGAGAGTGTACCCTTGTACTGGTTTTGGTTTGTATGGTTTAAAGGTAAAGACCAGTATTGGAAACGCCCCAATTTCAAAAAATAAAATGGAAGCTCTCATTACCAATCATGTGAAAGAATATGTTTTGACTAATACATGATGATAAAAAATTTGCCGGGAAACTGCCTACTAATTCATATATTTAGTAAATTTGTTTCTCTCATGGACTGTGAGAGATATAGGGTAGTCTCATATACATCTTTCTGTGTATAGTGCTTGTAACTTTACGAAGAATGGGCCAAATTTCTTATCATTTTGATGATTCCAGAACCTTCTAGATGCTAGATGATCAACCTTTTCTGATCGATTCCACAACGTTTCTTTCATAATGCAATCGCATGACCATAACTGGTCTTTACCTTTAAGGATTTGTTTTAGAGGATAAATGTAAGTGTATTTATTACAGCTTTAAGACCTGATGTGAGAATTAATTCAAAATATAAACTCAAACATGATCAACTAGGGGGGAATCATTTTCAAAGAGTGAATCGTGTGTGACATCATTTGATAATTTTCCTTTTTTAATGATTAATGAAGTAATAATTTGTTATCAATCATCTTGAAAGGATTTTATCCTTGCCTAATATACCGTCACCTGCTTCCAACTAAACTTTGGTGCTTGTATAATGAATCTATTACAATAAACATGAAGGCTTAAGATGTGATTACAGCCATCTGCTAAGCATCAGAAATATACCCCAAGATACTAAGCGAGCTCACTCTTCATATATCCTAATAAGAAATGAAGGCTATGATCATCAGCATGAGCTGTATTATTCCATGGACTTCTCTTGATTATTATTCTCTCTCAGTGTCCTTTCCTCTGCCAGGGGGGCCTCTCAGCAACAAGTTCATTACCCCCTATTCTACAAATCTGTTTACCTTCAAATTCACTACCGTTCTGGTTCTACTCACCCCCTCCAGACAACAAGCAAAGGTTTAAGGATGTACACTTGAGATTCTTTCTTAAATCCCTCGATGGATTATCCGAGATAACTTTCATTTATGCTAGATCCTGTGGCGGTTTGGATAGCGCCGGCGAGCCATCACTCACGAGGCGTTGCGAGGCAGAGGTTATAATTGTCGCGTTCGCTTAATGATTCTGTGCGATGATTCCTTGCGTGAATGTGAACGCTGGTGACCGCGAGTTACCCCGGCTGCAAGCTCTCGTCCGCGTCTGTGGTATTGTGGGGGAATTCTGGTCGTGTCCCCGTGACAAACATATCTCATTAGCGATTCATGAATTCCTTTTATGTCCCGTTTTTTGCGGATCTGGAGAGATTTTAATGGGAAGACGAAACCCGCCGGGGATAATCTGCGGTGGATCCGTCTCGATTCAAGAATTTGATGCGGTTTTAGATTTCATTTTGTTTCTTGAATGAAACGTGGGTGAGAAATATTCATGAACGTAGTTATGAATGAACATTTAGAACACGATTCTTCATAGATTGAAAGAATCGTCTTTGATTTAGATATTCAAAGAAATCCAAGTACACCTAAAGTAAGCCTCGCAACCACAGCAACCTATTTACGTGTATCGACTACAACTTCCTGAGACGAATCGTTCCAAACTTTTTGTGTTAATATGGGACAAACTTTATCATTTCATGAATCATGGGTTCATTCTATCAAGCAAGGGCTCGCTACCTCGCTCCCTCTCTCTCTCTCTCTCTCTCTCTCTCTCTCTCTCTCTCTGGTCAGCTTGGGAACCGTTTCTAAAGTGGATAACTCAAATAAATGGGGTCATATAGATGGTTTTAGCTTTTTTTGAAAGCAATTGTTTCAGGCAAGGACCTAATGAAATAACGAAGCTGGCCTTACGCTGCATGCCAGAAGGGTCGGCGGCGTAAAACCAGGAAATCAAACTAAACACCACTCCTGCGTTCAAACTCAAATATTATTATTACCCCGGAGGGGACAATAAATTGACAGCACCATTTAGGGAGAAATGTTGAGCGTAGGGATGAATTCATCTCCCCTGTAATTTTGTTCTGTTCCCCCGCCATTATAACTTCTTTTGCAAACCTCCCCCGTATTATCTGGCTTACCCGATATGAGGAGGGTTTTTGTACTTGTTGAAATTGTGCGTGAGGTTTTTGGCCACCCTAGATTTCCTTGGTTTAGATGTGTTAAATTGTTAATGACAGGTTGAAAAGTAAAAGATAGTTAGGTGTTGAGTATGTCTACATCTTTGTATCAAATTAGATGGAATAACATGAGGTTAATAACCTTACCAACTATTACTAATTGTTTGTTTGTTTGTTTTGTAAGTACTTTTATGGTTATTGGCTTTTCTATATTTCTATTTCTATTCATCTAGAAATATTTCTGTTCAACAGTAAAAACCAGTTGATTGAATGTTTGATTAATTATTGAAGATCTTGGATGTGCTTGATTGTTAGTGATGGGTTTGAAGAAAGCATATTTGAGCTGGATATCAGTGATGTCCAGTCATCAAATTGGGTAAAATAATCTGAAGTTAATAACCTTCCTGATCACTATTTGTCTTTCAATTACTTTTATTGTTATTAATTTTGTTAAGAAATCCATGAAAGCTGAACAATATTAAATATGAGGTTTGTTAAAAGTTTTTAAATAATTATTTAAGGTAATTAGAATGGAAAAGAGTTGAAAGGAAATACAGTAATTGATTTAGCTGGAAATAATCTAGTGGCAGGAATAAGACATTAGAAAAAGCATCGATCAAGTCATCATAATTGGAAAAACACTCTATTAATTATTTTTTTAACACTTACTAAGGGTGTTTGCAATGAAAGTAAAATAGAAGAAGTATGCAAATAGCATAGAATGTAAAGAAACAGAATGCATATTTGAATGGAAATAAAAAATAAAACAGAATTATATATTATTGCAATACCAGCAACTTGAAATCAAATACTTTAGAATTAGATATCAGATGGAAATAAAAATAGAATAAAGAAATTTGAATTGATGATGGAATGATGGTAAAATAAAATCATAGTGGGTTTTGTTGCAATTCTCATTACTTTTTTTGTGGGAATGTTTTCCAAAGTTGCTGTTCACTAATATTAAAAGACGGGAGTTGCTGCTCCCTTGTTTGGCGTTCAACAATAAGGGGTAGAGCAACGTCGATCTTGCGCAGGTTCCTCAGTGGCTGCCGGGCTCACGATCAATTGGGCAAAAAGAATTTCCATTTTCGGTTTAACTTAATACAATTTGGAGTGGACTTTAAAAGATTATTATTATTATTTTTATTATTAGTGCTCAATTGTTTCTGATTTCCTTTCTCCCTACCAGCCTCCCCAGTACAAGCTGGACCCTCGTCTAGCCCGGCTCCTCGGCGTGCACACCCAGACCCGCCCCGTGATCATCAATGCCTTGTGGCAGTACATCAAGTCCCACAAGCTCCAGGACCAACACGAGAGGGAGTATATCAATAATGACGCTTACTTTCAGCAGGTGAGACAATTATTGATAAGGACTAGGACCTACTTTTAAAAGGTCAAGTCCCAACTAATTGATGATGATGAATAGATGAGCACAGAATAGGAATAGGACCTACTTTAAAAGGTCTAGTCCCAACTAATTAATAGTGATAGAGTAGCTAAAGGACCTTGAAAAGGCCTCGTCCAAAGTAGCCACTAACATTATTGAGAATTACAAAATAGGACCATCCTTAGTTTGGTCCATTCAAACGATTAAAATAATGTTATTTATTAATGGTACATATAGGCCCTACACATTTTCCTTTTGAAGAAAACAAAATGGGTGGGGTGAATCTTCAGTAAATTTTCTTAAGATCTGCTTCAACAAAAAAATAAAAGCTTCCAGGACACTATGTCACACAGGCTTCAAGATCAGCATTCCCAATTATTATGATTACAATCCACGTAATTGAAGTTACTGGTAATTTAACCTTTCATTAAATCCACCTGTCTATTTACTGTAATATATTCAGTAAATAGATTCCAGATTCAAGATATTTTATTTAACCATAACCAAAAATATAATAATAATTAAAAAAAATAGAATGTGGAAGAGTCAAATAAGAAGTCAAATTAATATGATAGAAAATAAATTACACAAAAGTACAGTATGGATTATAGAAAGGACCAAAAGAAAAGCAAATGCTTGTAAGGAACGGCCCTGAAAGAGAGAGAAAAAAAGGGGAAAAAAGAAATAAATGATATCCATTTAGGCAGGGAGCTATACATCTCTGAAGAAGAGTGTCACTAGAGCCAAACATTGCTTGATATAGACACAAAGAGGATGTTGTTTGTCATAGCCCATCTTCTGCTTTGCACTATGTGACTCACACTATCATCTCCAACCCCATGAGTGCGTGCGTGGGCTATCCTTGTTCTCGTTTCATAAAAGAGAGGGGCGGTTTGGAGGACAGGGCATGGATATCGTGTCCAGTTAGAGCGTCGCCTGGCGCTCGGCCGTCTGCACACGGTCGTAAAAGTCACTGCCAATCTGCGGCGGCTCGTCGGGGTGACAGAGCCGTTGGGATCCGTCCGTGTCGGGTTTCGTAGCTCGTGTTGACGTAACGAGTCCAGCCCGCTGTCTCCCCCACAATTTATCCACTAATCATGCCTCAAAGCTCATGTTCGTTCGTGGCTTGGGGAAAGTTCAATGTAGTGTAATGATACAGGCTTTGTGATTCTTTAGTGTTCTTAAAACAAAATATATGTATATATATTATTGAGCTATTATATGTTAATGTACATTTTTAATGTTATTGAGCTAATATATGTTAATGTACATTTTGAGCTATTATATGTTAATGTACATTTTTATATAAGCTTCTTTCATTTTTTCGTTTTTCTATTTTACTGTTATTATGTGACATTGTTTGTCTTTTGCCTTTTTTTATCATAATGAAAATGAAAATTTAATCGTATCGAATTGGTATCAAGACAATAAAATGTTATTTTTATGATGAGAAATAAAGCAAAATTGTATTGGTATGATCATGAAGTATAGCACATACTTTTTTTTGAAAGAATAGTAAATATTTCTGTTGGCAAGAATGTTTTTATAGGTAAAGATTGTCTATCAAATCAATTTTAAAATGTGTAACAAATTGATGGAGAACATACAGTGTAATCTGTGTATGATTGAAAATATTTTTGACTGTATGCTAGTAATTGAAAATTAAAAATAAAGAATTAAAGTACAACGTCAATATGTTTTTATAATTGGCTCTGTGGTTCCCTATTTAATTTTGATTGAATTTAAAATATTTTTTGGTAATTCCTTTAAGGAATTACCATAAAGAATATCTTGCTCTGTTTTTGTATGTTTTGATTTCATGTTGGTATAATATAATAAATTGACAGCTTCAGATACTACATCTGTGTAGAGATGCCGCAAAAGATTTAGAGACAAATTAATCTCTAAAATTAATGTAGAAGTGACTTAGCAAGTTCTTAAATAGGGTTTTTAAAGTCATTGCCCTCATTAAGATATACTATGAAAACAGTTGATAAGGAATTGCAGCACGAAATACAAAAATATCCCCATTTAAATTAGATAATAATAATAATAATAATAATTGATTCTTATTGAGTGCTATTACAACAGAAAAGAAACTTACAAATCATAACAATCATATAAGGAACAGTACTTAAGATGTTACGAAGGAAATGAAATTTAGATACTCAAAAAATACATACATTAGAGTATAGAGACTAGACTAGGCTTATGATGAGTATGCTTTGTCGTTATGTTGTGGCTAGTAAGTTAGGTTATGCCCAATTTGTCTATATTTTTGTGGGTTTGAGTAAAAATGTTAGCTTGAAAAGATAATAGTAGATATCCTGTGCTCCTGAGGGATCCTCTATTTTACCCCAATCAAGTGTGACTTATATTTCCTGTCTCCGGAAACGCTTCATTCAAACTTTTTATTTTGTGTGCCAATTAAGAATTAACAGCATATTTTAACAAGTTACACCTATTCATAAGAGAGTTCTTTAATATTTTGTAGAATCAGTGAAATAAGAAACTATATAAAGAATTGATTTACATGACTTAATTTAGAGTAATGGGATGTGAAAAAATTGGATTAGAGCGTAATCACGTACTAATCTTTCCGAGTGTGGGAATGTTTTGAGAAACATGTGAAATTAGGCAATCAATTATCCTTTTCCTGAGATCCATTTCGTAGTATTCATCCAATTTGACAGTCAGTTGATTATTAAGTAAAAGACTGCAGTTACAGAGAAAGATGTAATGATAAGAGCAACAAGATTATTCTGATGTTTAAAACATTTTGTCGGAGGCCTTTGCTGGCCCCTGTCTTCATGATTTCCATTTGAATTTATTTTTCATTCAAATTATTGATTATGAAGTAAAGTCCTCTTTGGGGGTATTTATTCTTTGAATTTTCTTTCCTAGTAATTTTTTATACATATAGGCCTATGTTAGGTAACTTGGGTTACAAGCATTTTCTGATTATTTCCCAAGTCAGTTTTACAGTTGTTCTGACAAAGTATTTCATTGTTATTTCTATATAGATTTTGTTTAATGTATTTTAAAAAAATCTTTCTCAACCACTTACTTTCATTCTCTATCTCTCTTTCTCTCTCTCTCTCTTTCTCTCTCTCTATCTCTCTCTCTGTGCCTATCTCTCAATGTATCTTTCTTTCACTCTATCTCTCCTTTCCCCTCTCTCTCTCTCTCTCTCTCTCTCTCTCTCTCTCTTCCCTCCTTCCTTCCCTCCCTCTTTACCTCCCTCTCCCCCCTCTCTTTCTCTCTCCTCCCCCCACAGATCTTTGACTGTGAGCGGATGAAGTTCTCTGAGATCCCCCATCATCTTCATCCCCTTCTCCATGCCCCTGATCCAATCGTCATCCACCACACCATCAACGTCGACAGCACCGACCAGAAGAAGACTGCTTGTTACGACATCGATGTCGAAGTGGTAATGCACCCCATCCCTTCACTATAATTTGATTTATTTGTTGCAGATATTCATCGAAACTATTCAATTATTTCTTTCAACTAATCTAATTAAACACCAACAATTTTAAATCTGTTATTTACTCTTAGTTTATGTATCTGCATGTATCCTTTCAATGCCAAAATGTCCCTTCTTAAAAATTTCTTTACAAAAATTGAAATTCTCCCGGGAAGCCGAACATTCAAAGCTATAGTCCTAATGGCGAATTGATGAATACTAATGAGTCAGAATAAGTTGGGAGAGCTGATGTTTCTGTCCCAAGATCATCCTGACATTGCCATGGACCAGTGATGGCCTGGTGGTAGAGTCACTGCCTGACAAGCAGAACTGGATGGCAGGTTCAAATCCTGCTGTTTTCTTGGGGGGGGGGGGACTTTTATGTTTTTTGTGTTTAAAAAAAAAAAATACTTGTTTTGAATTACAAGATTGAGCACACAATCTTTATTTACAGGTTGCAAGCAAAAAATTCCTTTAGAAAAAATGAAGTTACTTCCAGAAAGCTTAACATTTAAAGCTAATGTCCCTTTTGCTGGGTGCTAGAAGGACATTAAATCTATTTCAAAGAAAAATTATGAGATAAAAGCCCCTCTGTCTCTATACAAGATGTATTGTCCACTGGTAACGTTTTTGGGCTTCCGTTTTGACATCATTTTACATGAAACCATTCATTAAAATAATGATAATAATGATAACAGATTCAAGAACAACAAAAAAAGGTAATTAACAGCCTGGAAGAAGGAAGATAGCATTCCATGATAACTGGTAAAAATAATTATTTTATCATATGCATATGGTAGCATTTTTTAAATATGGGCCAAAACCCTTTTTTTTGGATTATAACATAACATGAAGGACCCATGTTTTTGTTGTCTATAAATCTAGTTTTATTCGACCTCCGTACGAAGAAGCAGGTCATGTTTCTGGAGGAGTCCATGAGGCCTGGCTGGAGATGTCATTTGAGTATTTAAAATCTCCCTGAAGAGCAAACAATGAAAGTTGATATCATAACCAGTCAAAGCTATGACAGCGGTGTGATAACCTACTGTTTATATTATCTGTTATTGTATGCAGCTCGTTAGGTAATATCAATCCCTGAAACTCAAATTCTGCCCTAAATATGATATAGACCCTTCGGGCTGTGTTCCGATCATCGTGACCTTGATAAGACGGGAACGAAGAGTGTTAAATTTGCTTCAAGGGACAACAGAAACGTCACATTGAAAGAAGAGAGGAAGAAAGAATTTTGAAAAAGGATTCATAGAACTTAAAGGTTTGGTAGAATTGTGTCAAGATTATGTGTATTTGGGTCAAAGAGAAGATGTCACTTTTTCCTCTACCTACAAAAGAAAATGTTTATTGAAAGAAGGAAGAAAGGAAGAAATAAATTTTATTTAAAAAATCATAGAACCTGAAATTTTGGTAGAAATGTGTCAAGATTCTGTATGGGTCAAAGAGAAGATAACACCTTTCCTCAAGTTACAAAAGAAAAGGCTTATTGAGAGAAGAAAGCAAGAAAGAAATTATTTATACCATTTTTTTTAAAAACCTGAATGTTTGGTAGAAATGTGTCAGGATTCTGTGTATTTGGGTCAAGGAAAAGATGTCACTTTTTCTCAACCTATAAAAGAAAAGGTTTATTGAAAGAAGGAAGAAAAGAAGAAAGAAACTATTAAAAATAATAAAAACCTGAAAGTTTGGTAGAAAATGTGTCAGAATTCTTTGTATTTGGGTCAAGAAGGCGACGTCACCTTTCCTCTACCCCTTTCTTGCGCTCATGTGCCAAACACATGTGACCCCTCCTTCCATCAAAAATTCAGATGGATTTAACAGGCGACTGAATGAGTCAGTTAGGGTCACAAGTATTGCTAGGCTGTCGTCATGTTTATCAAATGAACATGCTCACACTCCTTCCGTTTTTTTCCCCCTCCATATCTATTCCTTATTTCCTGTATGGCTCTTGGAATTAGATCCATGTTTTTGAACGACATACCACATGGTGATTTCCTGCTTGTGTCAGTATTTAAATCATGACATCTTGGGTTTTGATTTGTAGGTCATTAATTATCTTCTTTAAATGCCCTATTTCAGTCCATTTGTCATACAGTTTGTCATTTTGTCAACATATAACATTGAATTCCTTATTCTCTTTTCTTTTTTCATTTTAAAACAAGATATCAAGAAAGCGGTTATACACATGCATCCTTATGTGCCCCCAGAAGCCTGTGTGAATCGATGCATGGTTGTTTTTCTAAAATACACATAATATCAGAGTTTTAATCCTACTTTAATCACAAATACTCATTTCAGTTATCACTAAAATGTTCACTGGGCTAAGTTCTATATCATTCATTTTTTATTACTTATTCTTTTCATGGCAAAACTAAATATTGAAAAGAAAATTGTCCAAATACATGTTTTGTGCCCCTCTGCCTGGCAGCCGATGGTATGGGCATGTGAAACTATAGATGACAGTTCTATCCGAGGAACTACAAGCTAGGACCAGCATCTTCCCAGAGTCACGGGCATTAGCACTCTCTCTTCCTCTAACAGTTTGAAAATGTGCTACTTTACCTGATATTCAACAATAGTACTTCTAAGAGGCCGCCGTGCTCAGAAAGTTACAATAGCTAAGTGTTGGAGAAACTTCATATAACACATGAAGAAACTTTCGATCTGAAAAATAGAGAGTAAAGGTCGGATGATAAAGGAGGCGCGATGGCTCAGTGGTAGAACAATGGTCTCGTAACCGGGAGGTTCCGGGTTCAAAACCAGGTCAATGCGCTAGTTTGCCCTTTGGTAAGGCGTTAATTCTCATTACCAAGTCTTTAACAGAGGACTTAAAGCCATCGGTTCCCTGATTGGTTCCTTACGATTATACATATGCTTTCTTAGCTGTCAGATAAATCAAACCAACCAACCAACAAACGTGATGATAGTATTTTGTCTTGTATAGTTACAGTGTACATGTATATATATAATGATAAAGAAAAGGGGCCTGGCCCTGAAGGAAGAGCAATCTTGTGTTTGAAGGTTAATGGACTTGTATCTTCCTCCCCATATAGGCCCACCAATACAAGTAAGCCCTAGATTCCGGCATCTCACATGCACATTTTTCTCCTAAATCCGCCTGCATCTGGAGCGACTTGATGGAAAATCCCCTTCACCCGAGCCGAACCCTTCCTTCAGGACTCGCCTTAACAACGCTTTTCACACGTTTGTTTCCGTGCGACGCCTCCCCCGAAGTGCGACTCTAGCTGGATTTCCTCAAGTGCCTGTTGCGGGATGATTCCATCTCCCCGAGGAGTCCCTAAGAAAACCCTCACTCCACACCTCTAGATACTCCTATATTTTTTACCCCCCATTTTTAGTCTTTCTTTCTTTCTGTTTTGCTGTGCTCTAGTGTTCTCTTGTTTGGGAGTTAATGAGCAATATATTGTTTGTGGAGAAAATTCTGAATTTTTGTTTTCTTTTTGGAATTGGAGACCAATTATGCAACCCTGTATTCAAATGCAGGAAAATCAGTTGTAGTGATGAAGAAGTGTTAAAGAATCTCTCTTGCACTCCATTTCTCTTTCTCTTTTTTTCTCTCTCTCCCTCTTTCTCTCTACATATCTCTTTCTCCCCTTGCTCTCTCTCTCTCTATTTCTTTTCTCTCTCTATTTCTTGCTCCCCTTCCTCCCCCCCCCCCCCCCCTCTCTCTATTTGTTTTTTTTCTCTTTCTCTCACTCTCTCTCTTTGTTTTTCTCTTTTTCTTTCTTTTTTGTTGTTATCATTTTTTTAATTTTTTAAATTTTTTATTATACTTTACTTCTCTTGTCCCTGATGCTTCTTCATCTCCCGTTTGGTTTTTCCGATCTTTAACCCCCCCCCCCTTCTCCTTTTTAAAAACCCCCCTCTCCTTCCTCTTCTCTCTTTTTCATTGTGTCTTCCTTTTTCCTACAGTGTATACAAAATATTTGTATGGAATATCAGTTCTTCACATACACATTTTTTATAGCATTGGTGATACTTCAATTGCTCTACATCTACATGTACTGATAACTGAGAGGAAACATTTTATTGTTGACAGACGAGGTGCCATAAACATCCTAATCAAATGTTCCTAATTTGAAATATCGCTCACCGTTACACTTTATCCCACGGGCCGAAACACTCCCTCCTCAAATTAGTGGTTAATAAATTGAATTATGCAAACAAACACGGGGATTTGACACTAAACTCTGCCTAACACGGAGCGGCACGCGCAAACTTTGGAATCGAGGGCAACATCGACTCTCTTTCCCCAAACAAAGCAGGTGCCTGTTAATGATTCTAGAGCGCCACATTTTGTGAGGCTGTGGATGAAATGCTTTGCCCTTGCCAAGGCGAGTCAGACTTTAACAGTTGCATCATATGGCGTGAATCAAATTTGACTCACTTTTGCTCTGCTCGCGTCAACCGCTGCGGACCACCCACGAACACGGAGGCAAAACAAAGACGGAATTAGGGCTCAGACAAAAGACGTTTAATAGATAAGTAGGTCAGACTTGGCTTGACTCTACACATTTTATAATCGTGACCTGGTGTAGCTGTTGGTTGGGGGCTGCCGGCTCTGAACTATGGGGGCCCTCTCCTATGGGGGCCCTCTCATTAACCAAAGCCCCATAAAATATTTCTTGATGAACTTAACAAAATAGGATTCAGATGATTTAAGATCTTTTAAGGTCATGGTCATTACGCTGTGCACCTTTATCTTTCAATGTCTTTGTTTTTATCCATATTTGAAAACCTTTAAGAATGAGTTATTTTTCGTATATTAAAAAACAACAACATATATTTTTTTTTAAATATTGACAACTTCACTGTCTAACACATACATGTACAGCCGCATCTCTCTCTCTCTCTCTCTCTCTCTCTCTCTCTCTCTCTCTCTCTCAATCTATCTCTCTCTCTCTTTCTCTTTTCCCCTCTCTCTATCTATG